CCAAGCGCGCCAGAATGATCAATGAGTCAGTCACGCCTAACCCACCTCACGCCTAACCCACCTCATGCCTGACACAAACTTTGGTACCCCCAACTCAGCGTCCTGGCGCCGCCGTATTAAGACTGGAAGCCTAGTGTAAGTATCTTCGTTCGATTGTGCCTCTGTCTAGATCTTCTGGATCTCGACCTCGACCCCGTTCACGAGGGCGTTCACTTAGGTGTCTTTCGACTCTCCTGCGGTTCGTGGTTCCACCGCCCTGTTCGCCGTGGGGGTGCTACTGGACCTCGGTATTACTCACTGGACTGTACCTCGGCGCCAGCTGCAGCCATCGGCAGGTCGTGCATAGCGACCGGATGCGGCGCGTCTTGTAGGAGTCGTCGTCGTGGAGTGCGGGGGCGAAGTTCTGAACGAGAGAATTCGTACTTGCAAAAGGGACACTTCATCATGTGACTTACCTGTAATGGACCACGCACCGTTTAAACCGCACCGTTCTGGTGGTCGGTTCTGACTAGGAACCACCGTGCAGCGCACAAGTAGATTTATCTGTGTGGTCAGCGAAGGACGGAGTCCTCCAGGCATTGGGACCCAGAAGGCTTCCGGCCTGACTCATGTGGGTGATGGTGACTACTGTTTGCGTTGGTCGTAATGTGTCCGGTTACGCCTGATATGGTGCCTGCCTGACTGCGTCTGGAGCCATGGAGTCTTGTGGCTAAGGCTTCTTTAATCAGTACTATATTGGCTCCGGTATCGATTAGCGCTTCGACAGTATTCCCATTCACCTGCACTTTTGCATGATGGTTCCCGTCCTCATGCTAATGGAATGAGTTTCCGCAGGTCGTCAATGAAGTCGAGCCGCCACGGGCACGTTGAGTGACTCTGCGGGGGAGATTGTGCTCGGTACCGACAAAAGATTTTGAAAGGGAGGAATTTTTAAGGGGAAAATCACTCGATCCGGACAGACCAAATCCCCGATGCTGAGCCCACTCCACACAGTGAGGCGACAGCTACTGAATGCCGTCAGCGATGGGTTTGGCCGCAACAAGAAAAAAATTCTGATGCCGGGGACGTTGAGTTTCTCAAGCTACCTACGCCCGGGCAGGTTCGTGACAGCGCCCAACAAGGATTTGTTTCCAGAAGCAAAGCAGAGGGCTTTTAAGCGGTGGGCTTTTAAGCGGTGAGTGCGTGTCGATCTCTTTCGCTCTAGAAGTTCGTTCGCTCGACTTCATTGACGACCACTTGATCGTTTTTGGTGAGGGAGTTAATTTTTTTGGGAAGGATGAGGTCGGTGTTCGGTGTGCGATCGCGAAGTTTGGAGTTGGCGGAGCGGCTGGCCTACGTGGTGAACCCGGATGGAAGCGAGTCGGCGATAACTGAAGATATGGACATGCGATTGCTGACAGTGGGGGTGCGACGGAAAGGCGTATTGGTGGATGGTATGACCCTGCTGGCAGTGGCACCGAAGGCCCGGATGCGAGTGCTTGACAGCTTGGCACCGGGTTCGAAGTTCTGGAGAGTCGGGGTGCCGCAGTCGCCAATGGCGGCAGGGGCCGTGCCGGCAGGGACCGTGTTCCGGATCGAGAATGAACGTTCCAAGCCGGTGGACGAGGAGAAAGCGCAGTTGATGGCGAATGAAGACAAGGCGAATGAAGACAAGGCGAATGAAGACAAGGCGAAGGAAGACAAGGCCTATGAAGCCAAGGCCAATGAAGGCGTGAGTGCGGCGGGCGACGAAGCGGGGTTTGATTTGTTTCGAGACTGCGTGAAACTGCGAGCGTTCTTGCACGGAGGCAAGCCTGCGCCGCACACGGAGGCGTTCCTGGGGGACGGGTTGTGGAAGATATTTAATGCAGTTGATGACGAGTCATGGAAGCGTTCGCTTGCGGCACGGCGTATTTGGGAGGATGTGTTTGGAGACTCGGGTCAGGTGCTGGGGAACTGGGTGCACATTCTGGAGTATCAACATAACTTAGCTAAGCTATGGGGTCCGGTGGGGCTGGAGGTATGTTCTTCGAAGCCGGTGACACGGAGTGCGTGGTTCGAGTTGGAGCTGCAAGTGCCGGAATACTGGCGCGAGGCGGTGGCCAAGTTTGTGCGTGATGACCCAGAGCCAGACAGCAGGTGGGTGGCACCGGAGGAGGAGGAGAACGAGGAGCCTCAGGCGAACGAGGACGAGGAGGAGGAGGATTGGGAAGTTCCATCAGAACCAGTGCGGGCACCATCGAGTTCGAAATGCCGCGATGGCTGCGTGGAAAGCTGCGGGTCTGTCGCCTTGTTTGGGTCGGTCGCTTTTGGCACGTGTGTTTTTTTCGGATTGGTCTTGCGGAGTTTCGGACTCTGGCATGAAGAGGTACCGCCACCACCGCCAGTAGTGGCGGAAAGTTTGTGGACGTGTGCGCAAGAGTTGAAGTCCTCGAAGTCGTTGTCGATGCCTTCTCTGGAGCAGTCTGGGCGATCGCAAGAAACGTGTTTGCGGGATGCCTGGTTCCAGACAGCTAATCCGCCGACATGTTCTGGTGGCACCGGCGGGTTGATATGTCGAGTGATGCGTAACGGCCCAATGCGGGATGTGTGCTACCGCTTTGCTGGTTATGAGGGACGTGATGTAGAAAGTCTGTTGAAGGCCTTCGTCGGTGGGCCGCAGTCGAGAAGCTGCCGTATCTATTGTGACGCGCCCGGGGCAACCCTCGAGCGTCTGGGAGATCATGTCGCCCGCACACTCGCCACCAACGCGACCCTCATACCCGGCTGGATTACGACCGACGGTTCCGCACACAACACACCTTGGACGGTGGTCGCGCCCCGTCCTGGCAGGATCATAACCAACCCGACGGCCGCAGCGGCCTCGGCGCCCCACTTTGTCCAGCTCCCTCGCGTACAAGGCTGCAGCGGTTACTGCTCCAACTGCACGCGCAACACCTTTGCTGAATTAGAGAAACGCGAATGCCCGTGCGGCTTCGCCTACGCTGTATGCCAAAGCAAAACGGCAGATCCAAAACCCGGAGACCCGACCACCGTATCCGCCGCCGCCGGCATTCAAACCACTCTCAAGACCGTCCTTCACCTCCTGCACGAACTAGACCACCCCAAACGACATGTTGACAACTGTTGGTATGGCTGTCATGACCCCTACGCCCGCTATGTCACGCCCTCTCCCAAGCCTGAAGTGTTCCCAAGTGAACACCCGGTGACGTAACAGAGAGTGCATCCACCCAGGGCTTTTTATTCTCTTAACCCGGCTCGGTCTCGGTTGTCACACTTCTTGATGGTTGTGTGTCACACACACTTTTTTATGTGGTCAAGCACCCGCTGGGACTCGGCCCTTGCTAGCTGGAGTTACTGTTGTGTGACCCCACGAGTGTTGTGCTAGCAGACGGGTGGTATTTATTTTTGGGAGGGATGAGATCGGTGTTCGGTGTGCGATCGCGGAGTTTGGAGTTGGCGGAACGGCTGGCCTACGTGGTGAACCCGGATGGAATCGAGCCGGCGATAACTGAAGATATGGACATGCGATTGATGACAGTGGGGGTGCGACGGAAAGGCGTATTGGTGGATGGTATGACCCTGCTGGCAGTGGCGCCGAAGGCCCGGATGCGAGTGCTTGACAGCTTGGCATCGGGTTCGAAGTTCTGGAGAATCGGGGTGCCGCAGTCGCCCTTGGCAGCAGGGACTGTGCCAGCAGGGACTGTGCCGGCAGGGACCGTGTTCCGGATCGAGAATGAACGTTCCAAGCCGGTGGACGAGGAGAAAGCGCAGTTGATGGCGAATGAAGACAAGGCGAATGAAGACAAGGCGAAGGAAGATGTGGCGAAGGAAGATGTGGCGAAGGAAGATGTGGCGAGTGAAGATGTGGCGACTGGTGTCGCAAGGGTTTGTGTGGGTACCAGTGCAGAGCCTCATGCGGGCGACGAAGGGGGCGGCGTGGGTACCAGTGCGGAGGCTGGTGCTGGCGACGAGGGGGGCGGCGTGGGTACCAGTGCGGAGGCTGGTGCTGGCGACGAAGAAGGTGACGAAGCGGGGTTTGATTTGTTCCGAGACTGCGTGAAACTGCGAGCGTTGTTGCACGGAGGCAAGCCTGCGCCGCACACGGAGGCGTTCCTGGGGGACGGGTTGTGGCGGACGTTTCAAGCGGTTAAGGCCAGATGCTGGAAGAGTTCGCGTGCGCCACAGCGTATTTGGCGGGACACATTTGGGCACTGCGGTCCGGCGGATTGGGAGCAGGCGTTGGCGCGCGTGCGGGCTCGATCGTTGGGCGGGATGGCGTTGGAAGTGTGTTCTTCGCAACCGGTGACACGGAGTGTATGGTTCGAGCTGGAGCCGCACGTGCCCGAATACTGGCGCAAGTCAGTGGCTATCTTGGTGTCGGATGACCCGGAGCCAGAAAGGGGTTGTGAGCCACCGGAGACGGAGACCTCTTCTCAACTTAGCGACACTGGCTGGCTCCCTCCGCCGCCGCCACCACCTGTGCGCCCAAAGAAGGGTTATCTAAACGTCTGTATGAAATTGTCCTATTTGTCGTTCGTGTGCTGCAGTGCATTTGTGAGCTCTGCAATAGTGTTGCAGAAGTTCAGCAAGTCGCCACCGGCATTGTTGGAATGTCTGTGGATGTCTCGGCTTCCTTTCCCGTCGTTGCTGCCGGTGCAGTTGGAGCAGTTGGAAGAAAAGTGTGAACCTGACCGAGTGGGGTTCGAGCCGCAGTTGAACGAGACTTGTTTCGGTGGTCGTGGCGGGTTGGTGTGTCGCGTGGTAGGCGACGGTCAATTGCGCGATGTATGCTACGGCTTTGCTGGCTATGAGGGACGAGACTCAAAGAGTCTTTGGGATGCCTTCCTGCTTCGACCAGGAAAAAGGGTCTGCCGAATATTTTGCGATACACCCGGAGCAAACCTCGAGCGTCTGGGTGAACATGTTGCCCGGGCACTCGCCACCAACGCGACTCTGACACCTGGCTGGAATATGACCAGCGATGCCGGGCCGTCTTGGAAGGAACTCGGGCGGCAATCCGTCAGACGCAATTTCAAGGTCGCCGCTGCTGCAGCCCCCCACTTCGCTCTACTCCCCATCGTACACGGCTGCTCCGGCTACTGCTCCAACTGCACGCGCAACACCTTTACCAAATTAGAGAAATGCCCCTGCGGCTTCGCCTATGCTGTGTGCCAAAGCGCAGCAAGGGACGCAAAACCCGACGTCCCGCGCAACATCTCAACCATTGCAGGCATTCAAACCACTCTCAAAACCGTCCTTCACCTAATGCACGAACTAGACCACCCCAAGCTACATGTAGACAACTGCTGGTACGGCTGCCACAATAAGCCCTTGCTGAAACACCCTTAGACAAGTCTGAAACCAGACCTGCAGCCCCTGCGGTACGGTCTTGCCTTCACCCACCTCGCCGCGGATGAGCCTGCTGCTGTGGGGGCAGCCATCTGTCACTGCTGTGGGGGCAGTCCTCCCTGCGGTGGGTGGTGGCGCCTCACATTAGCTGTGATCTCCGTCCTCTGACACCTCCGACTCCGGCTTCTTCGTGGGTCACCCCATTTGGCCAAGACCGGCCGTGCTCTCTACGAGAGCAGAACAAGCTTATCCAAGTGCCTACACCACCGTTCTATCGCCCCATTCGAAGTGGAACTCCTTAGCCCATCTGTCATGCCGCTGCGCTCAGAATGGCCTGCAGCAATAGCATAACATATCCGGAACCGTGATTCCTGCCTGTCCCGTAGCGGGTCTGCTGCCTCTTCAGTCGATGCGGCCGCGTTGATAACAGGTCGTGGAATGTTGGCACCTCCCCCGGCGTCGGGTACACGCAGGACCTGAAGCACCCACTCAGCGCAGTGCTGTCCCGAACCTGGCCACGTTTGACAAAAAGTTGCACTTCGGGGTGCTCAAACTCCTCCTCTGTGGTGGCTGGTGGGCAGCATGGACGAACACTACTGCGACATGCTGAGATGATAACTTGAGATGGTCAACTTAAAGTTCGAATTAAAGATTGACTCCCGCCACCGATTGACCCTTCTTGTCGGCGCTTAGTTCCTTTTTGTCGGTGCTTAGTTCCTTTTTGTCGGCGCTTAGTTCCTTTTTGTCGGCGCTTAGTTCCTTTTTGTCGGCGCTTAGTTCCTTCTTGTCGGCGCTTAGTTCCTTTTTGTCGGTGCTTAGTTCCTTTTTGTCGGCGCTTAGTTCCTTTTTGTCGGCGCTTAGTTCCTTTTTGTCGGCGCTTAGTTCTGTTCTGGGTACGTCCAGCAGGTCAAATTGCCTGGACTGTGGGCTTCGGGTCACGCCTTGCTGCCAAACCCATTCGTTCCGTTCGGACTTGCCCATCGGCTTTGGTCGCGAGAACCTCGACATGTAGCGGAAGCCCACAGTGGTCTCCGAGATTATTCGTCTTTTTCTTGATTTGTCCCGGATTTCTTCAAGATCAAGATCTAGATTAGATCTAACTTGTGTGCGTGTATGTTGTGTGCGGAGTGAGTTGTATGGTGCCGCGTTGTGTGCGGAAATTTTTGGATATAATTGTTTGGCTCGTGTGGCGTGCTTTCTGTCTTGGTGCTTGTGTGTTCTCCGTGATGGCTATTTCCCTTGAATGTAGTGGTATGTTGTCTTCGTGTTCTTCAACATGTCGAGTAGTACTTTGATCTTGCGGGAATGGTATATGGTTTCGGTAGTATGAGTTGTTGGCTCGCCAGCGCTTTGGCTAGTAGAGCATTGTCTGTGAAAACTTGTAAGTCGGTGTTAGCAGTATAGTCTTTGATTTGGCTGAGATATTTCTTTATGAGCATATAAGCCCCTTGGTCTTCGTTGGAGTTTGCATAGTTGTGAACCGCCGGTAGCGGGATTGATGCAGTAAGATATAGTGGTTCTCCGGAAGAAGCGGAGAAGGTCTTTTGCGCTTTGGTAGTTAGTGCTTTAGTATAGATTGTCAGTGCTTTATTGGTCAGCAGCTTTCTTATCGTAAATTGTATGCTAGTAATATGCTAGGGTCTGAGCAGCTCTTTTGATAGGTTGTTAGATTTCAGTAGTTCTTCTATCCGCTTCCAGTAGTTCTTCGTATCTGGTATCGATAGTTTGTGTTTGTCTAGGGTATATCCGAGCAGTCTGGTTCACTTGGAAGTTGCAGCTGATCAGCTGGTTCTGTTGTAACGATCTTTCAGTTGTTTCGGGTTAGATGCGGCTATGAAGATATCGTCTTGATATATATCGTTGGCAAACCGTAGTTTAGCTAGTATGTTTCCCATTACTGCGTGGAAGTGCTTTGGTGCGTTCGTTGGAAAATGAAATGTTTCAACCCATCCAGCAGCTGTCGCCAGTGATTCGTCCATGATGGGTTGGGGCATCCCTGTTGTCGTTGTCCCTGGGTTCAGCATCGCTGTTAATGGCTCAGGTAATTAACCTTACGTTTGTAATTATTAGAGACAAAGATTTCTTTTGAGATCGTTATGTCCAAATAGCGCTCACTGTTAGACCTACACTCGTTGCGACGTCTGCCTGACCGCTCCCGTTGTCCGCGTCCGCCTGCATCAACAACGTGACCCCCGCGCACTGGCAATATTGTCACACGCTCATTCGAGCGCCCTCGATCCGTCCGTAGTACCTTTCTCTCGGCCCGACACCAGACTTCTTCCGTAGTTTCACCATAGACCCGGGTACACCTCGACGGGAGCAAGGACGGAGCGCCTCCCCATAGTGCAGGTTCAATGCCAAGGGTTCGTCCAAAGGTTCAATTACAAAGTGCAACCGGATTTCTAGTCTTAGAAAATCATATGCTAAGTAGAATAAAAATAGTTTTAAAGGGGGAGACGGCGTCTCCTTGAAATCGCATCAGCCGGATTCAGGCTCCCTAAAATGTACACATATCTTGCCTTGTGCAATTGCCTGATCCGTGCCGCATAAATCTCGAGATCTATTCTAGCGATCACTCTCTGGCCCATGCTACTACGGGTCCTATCGCTTGTGCGTTAGGGAATCTCCCGTCAATATTCGTACTTGTGCGTAACTCTACTACACAGAGTAGGGCTTTAACGTATCTCTGCGTGTTGTCGAACCGTCTTGCAGCTGCCACATTTGTTGATCTCCGTCCTCTGACGCCTCCGACTCCGGCTCTTTCATGGGTCACCCCACCGTGGCAAAGACCCGCCGTGGCGGCGTCGGGTAAACGCACGACCTAAAGCACCCACTTAGCGGCGTAGCAGATCCCATATTTAAAAAAGTAAAGCCCGGAGGAGCGCAAACAAATCATTCTCGACTTGGGACGGGGCCCATGCGCGCGTTCTCGAGGTCCCGCCACTCCGGAGATTCCCAGTTCGCCCTTCGTTCCAGCACCGGTCTCCAGTCTTCGGGCACCAGCGCCGAGATCTCCTGGAATTCGGAAGCATGCATCGGCCGGCTTGTGACGCAGCCGTAGATTTCGTTGTGGGTGACCTTCTCGCCCGTCTCCTGGCACTCGGATATGAGACCCATCAACTCGTGCTCCTGGTCGCCAAAGATCTCGCCGCACAGTGCCGCAATCGCCTCCGGCGGACGATCCAAAAACACAAAGTCCCGCACTAACCCACGCAGCAGTGTCGCCTCAGCGCGCCCGTTGTTCTTCGCCCCCTCCGGTCGCCATACCATCATCCGGCTCCAGCAGGCGTGGAACAAGCCTGAAACTGACGCCGGCTTGCCGTCAGTCTCAAACACATCCCTCGGCGCCAACGCCACAGCCATCACGCTGCTATCGCCTATCTCTATCGCGGCCACCTGCGCCACACAATTGTCCAACTCCGGCTTGCTCCCATCTGAGGCCAACAAAATCGACAACAACTCACTTCCCGACACACCACTTAGTTCGCCTTTCAACCCACGCATTTCTTATTATTAAATAAAGAGATGTCTGTCATAACCACGAAACCACGGCCCCGCCTTGGCATAGTTAATGCCACTGCCTTGGCTATGATTCCCTTGACCTCGTCGAAAGTTTCCTAAGAGATGCACTGTCGTGAGTTGTGACAAAAATACGACCGTTATGATGCCCCGGAAGGAACTTGGAGCAATGCCCAGGAAGTGTTTTATATCGGGTCCGTTACCTCTAGTGATCCCGACTCTTTGTGCTGTGGTCCCTGTTTGCCGAACACTGCCCCGCACGGGGATGTGTTTATCGCAGAGTGGGCCGTTACGGCCCGGACGGTCTGCATGGCGTCCGACGTTGGGACGATTATATAGCGGGATGACGAGGAAGCTCCAGTTGGCGCCTCCTGCGTGTACTGGTCCCATCGTGGTCGAGTGATGCGACGTCTTGTTCGATGTCCTGGACGTAACCGGGCCAGTAGTATAGAGCTTGGACCCTCTTGCGCGCCGACTCCCGGGTGGCCGCCGGAATGCGATGACTTGTACTTGTTCCAACATCACAATCTCGGCAAGCAACGATGATCAGTTCAGTAGCAAGGCTCCGACCAGTAGCAAGTTACGTATATTAAGATCATTGTAAATGATATTTGAACTATAAGTATGAACGTTTCACCCGATCAAAATATGGCCTAATACGGCGGTGTATAACACCATGTAGTTGCAAGCGCAGCTGGTAATCGTTCGTCTCCACACACGCCTCATGCGTGTGGTAAGTGCAGCTGGTAATCGTTGTCTCCGCACACGACTCATGCGTGTGGTAAGTGCAGCTGGTAACGTTTCGTCTCCACACACGCCTCATGCGTGTGGTAAGTGCAGCTGGTAATCGTTCGTCTCCACACACGCCTCATGCGTGTGGTAAGTGCAGCTTGTAATCGTTCGTTCCGCACACGCCT